TACTTTTTAAAACTTATTTTTCAGAAATATAAATGCAACAAGACACTAGCCTTTGGTGCAAATGCATTCTTCTCATTTCCACTTCAGTGATTCATAATCTCACATACACAATAAAAACAAGCAAATGGAAACAATTTAAAAGCTGGGAAGAAGTAAATTATTTAACAATTTAAAAACTCAGAGACATTTTTCCCTACAGAGCTATTTTCATGTTCATTTTATTTTCAGTGGAGTCCTGGTGGACAAACTGGAAAGGGAAAGCAACCATTTCACCCATGCTTTGCTCTAGGTATTGGAGCATCTCTTTGCATAACAGTTCTTTCCTAACAACAGAAAATGCCAGAAAATCCTGGTCCCTCTCAAGACCCATATTCTTTCACAGGCTCTTCTGTTTCCTTTGATGTTTTTCCCCCATTCAGGTTGTTCCAACATTTTGTCTTCCTCCCCAGCCCCAAAATTTTACCAAAGGTAGTACTGCCTTGAGGAAACATCACTATTTGTAAATTTGTTTATGAAAACAAAGACTATTATTAATTAAATACATGACAGTTAGACATTATGCATACAAATTAATATGACACAGTATAGCAAAGGCCATGAATTTTTGTACATGTATGTCAAATATCTACTACTATTGCAGATGATGGAATGTGAAAATGTATAGGCAGTCAGTTTATTTTTGCTTCTCAGAAATGTAATCATCAGCAGTTCTGAAGTTTCATTATTTATGTTCATACAGTTCTGTATAGTTGGATGACTATGATTTCACAAAGAAGAAGAACTAGGAGTCAGTAATGATGATGTGGACCCTCCAAAATGTATAAAAATTGATTCTCTTTAAAACATTTGAGTACTTTACAGGAACAGGTAAGGACTGTGTGTCCAATGTAAAATTTCCAATCCATGTTTATACAGACCTTAGCCCTATTGAGAGTTCTTGTTAACAGTCATCAAGTTGACTTCAACTTATGGCAACCCTTTGAATGAGAGGCCTCCAGGTCAAACTGTCATCAACAGTCCCACTTAGGTCTTGCAGACTCAGGGATGTTTTTCAGGTTGTATTTTGGCACAGTGATTGATTTGGTGTTCTTCTTTAGCTTTACTCTAATTTCCGATATTAGCAATTGATGGTCTCTGCCACAGTCTTGTTTTTGCAGAGACAATGGAGATTCTCTATCTTCTGCTTCCAATTATGTGGTCTGATTTCTATATTGGCCATCAGGTGATGTCTATGTATATATTTTTGGTTACCTGAAAAAAAAATTTTTTTTAGAATGAACAAACTTTTGGTTTCATAAAATTCAGCCAGTCACTGTCCAGATTCATTTCTTGATCCTAGGCCAAATTTTCCTGCAATCTTTGATTCTACTCTATTTCCTACTTTTGCATTCCAATCACCTATAACCACTAACATGTCCCATTTTAGTGCATGATCAATTTCCTCCTGAACTCTAGTGTCGAATTTCTCAGTTTCTTTTCTTTCTGCCTCTGGAATTCAAGCATAAACTTGGATTAAAATTATATTGAGGCGTTTCCCCAGAAGTCTGATTGATATGATATTGATAACGCAAAGTTGGCCAGACTTTGCATTATATCTTTCAACTGCTTTTGCTTCATTTCTCATTATTAATGCCATCCTATTTCTTCTTAGATTTTCATTTTCTGAGTAAAACATTGTGTGTCTGACTGAAAATGCCCTATACATGTTCACCTTTGCTCACTTACTCCAAGTATCACAATGTTTATATATTCCATTTCTTGTTTTACAATGTCTAGATTCTGCTGATTCATGCTGTTCACATTCCATGTTGCTATATGTACAGGAGCTCTTCCATTGTGCAGTGCTTTACACATTTCAGAAAAGTGGAGATTATTTCTGTGGTTTTATCACTAGAAAAACTGGCTTATGGAAAATATTTTATACCCTAAAAGTGTTAATTTTCCTGATTGTATTAAACATAATGAGATGTTTAGTTGTAAAAGCTATGAGAGAATGCACAACTGGGCAATACCTGTATTAAGCTCAAGTTGTTACAAAAGTGTACAAGCTTTCAAATTCTTCAGAACTCCTCATTAGTTTTAGGTGGTACAAAATTCGGGGGCTGTAGGAAGCCCTTCTCCCAGAAAAGTCTAAAACTATGGTGGCATATTTGGCGAAAAACAGCACCCAGAGATTTGAGTAGCACCCAGCCTTTTACTTTTTCAGAAATAGATTCCTTCTGACATTTCTTCTTTATCCCAGAATGTATTGCTCACTGTAATCTGATACCTACAAAACCTAACAGTGATTGATCCAGCCTGCAAATCTCCACTCTGAGACCAGGTCAAAACAACAGACCTACATCTGGTCAAAAAAATCTAGCCTTTATTTTTTATTTTTTCAATTTGTTCTATCATCCTCTGATATCACCTTCCCTGATAACTACTTTCTTATGGACCAGCATAGCTATTTCTGTTTTTAAATGTGTTTTTGTAAAGCTGTAGTCCACAATTACAAGGGAAAGTGTGTGCCCCCTCGTGCTCCCCCATCCCATCCCCTTTTGCCTGCTAATGTGAGTGAGTGAACCACCCTGTCAGTTTAATTTCCTCCCAGTGACAGAGGTGTTATCAAAATTCTTTTTAAAAGTGGCATATGGTAGTAGTGGAGGCAGTGGCAAATATAGTAATCCATTAATTATTAATTCAGCGAATGCTTAACCCACAAATGTGGAGAGATGACTGTATATCTCATTTTAAAATTCTGACTAAATGAGGCCTATTTGATTCCCAGGAAGTAATTTGTAAACTATTTTCAAGTTTAGGAGGTTTAAATGGAAATGTACAATCTTTGACAATCTTCAAAAGAGGTTAATTAGATTTGTGTGATTCTTATGGATAATGAGCCTATATCTAATGGAAGACACATTTCTGATCATATATTTAATTGGTATCTCTTTCAGCTGTGCTATGGAAAGCCCCGAGGACCTCTGTTTTGTTGAAGAAGGATGTAGCAGCAGCATAGTTCTTGAAAAACAAGTTTTTAAATCCCAAGTACCCGAATCACATGTTCAGCTTGCTTGTAGCCTCCATCACTGTGCTTTTCCTTTGAATGGAAATGAGCTTTGCATTTTGAATACCACTGATGATCCTGACCACCAGGTTAAACATTTATGTCTTTGTGGGTATTGAGTTGATGTTAAAAGGAATGAAGTCCATGCACACTAACTATGGGGGGTTGTAGACTGCCAGAAATAGTGCAAATTGAGTCCACTTTTAGGGTTAGGGTTAGGGTTAGGGAATCATGGGAACTGTATTTGTGGCACTAGAGCTCTCTGATAGAGAAGGCTATATGTCTCAGAAAAAAAAACAATTCCCATGATTCCCTAGCACTAACCCTAACCCTAAAAGTGGACTCAATTTGCACTATTTCTGGCAGTCTGCAACCCTCCTATATATAGATCCTTTGAAAATGGAAACAGTGGTTAAGAGACTATGGGGTCATGCAGCCTGACAGCTTGGAGTGGCCTAAGGCCACTTCAGCCCTGATCAACTCCTGATTGGTGCAGGAACGTGGCGACCACACGGCCTAGTCCCAATCTGGGCCACCACAGCGGTCCCGAGTGGGACGCTGGCAAAGTGGACTTTCTCTGCTCTTTTTCCGACTGGCTTTTTCTGGCCAGGTGTGCTTCCCGCACAGCTTCCGGCCGCTCTGCTCTATCTGGATGCCCCACCCCCAGAGCAGCCGGAAGTCACACTTGCCTGTCTGTTTTGGGCCTATGTCCAGTAACAATAATTATGAAACCACTCTGATGTTCCGATTTTCATACTCAAATGTAAACAAATAACACA